GAACAATTAAAATTTTGAAATTTAAAATTAGAAAAAACGCTTCCTAAACCTAAACTACCACTTAAAAAGTCGTTTAATGAAGCCTAAATTCCTCTTTTATATGTTTTATCAAAAAATTTCAAAAAACATTCGGCTTTTTTCGAAATTTTGTTCCGTATTCCTTATTCCTTCTTCCTTATTCCGGGTGTTTTTTCTATTCCTTATTCCTTCTTCCTTCTTCCGGGTTATTCAATTTTTATTCCTCATTCCTTATTCCTTATTCCTGATTTTTAATTTTTGTTCCTTATTCCTTCTTCCTTCTTCCGGGTTATTCAATTTTTATTCCTCATTCCTTATTCCTTATTCCTGATTTTTAATTTTTGTTCCTTATTCCTTATTCCTTCTTCCGGATTTTCAAAAATTTTATTCCGCTCATGTCTGCTAGGGAATCAGATTTTTTTGCTAGAACTTTCTATGGGAACAAAAGAAGAAAAAAGTTATGACGTACTTTGTTTGAAAAAGCCGAAAAAAAGCAAAGTGCGATTTTCAAAAATCATTCTCATGGGATTTAAGAGATTCGGAAAAGAGAGAATCTAGATAAAAAATAGAGGGAAAAAGAAGAGAACGAACATTTTCAAAATGTTTAAAGGATTTGACAAGTAGTTGAAAAATTCAAAAAAAACCAAACAAATCAGAATTTTTTGAGTGGAACACCACCAAATCTATCACCCAAATGATTTTTACATATTTCTGTGTATTCCGTGCGATTTTGAGCAATATTATCAGGGCTCACAGACGAAATCGAGCTGCCAAATTCTGGGAAAATGATGTTTCTATCATTTCTGAGTGTTTGAAAGACTTTTTTTCACTTTCAAAAAATTTCTCAAAAAAGCACTTTTAAAGTACCCCATGATGATTTTTTTTTGAAATTTTACAAAAAATATTTCAGATGATAGAGAAATGATCAAAAAAGAATTTCCCGCTTGAAAAAATCCTGGAAAAAGATTTTTAAAGCTCGAAAATTGCACGTTTTTGGTCAAAATTTACTACTGAAAACAATTTGAGAGCCCATATTTTTGTTCCTATTAGGATTATGACCGAGATATTGCTGAAATCGTATTCAGCATGTTCGAAAGTACCTTTGTACAAATTTTGAGCTAATTCTCAACGCCCCTCTGAAAACACTTCCCTTGTTAGGCGCAGCAGTATCGAAAAATTCGTTTTTGAATTTCAAAATTTTTTTAAAACAGCGATTTTTCAAAAAAAAAAATTTTTTGAATTTTCGCTTAAATTCCAGTGTGTTCTGATTAAAAAATATTGAAAACTGCTGTTTCACAAATTTTGGTTTCAAAAAAATGTATTCGTTTTTAGCATTCAGAAAAACCAAAATTTCGAAATTTCTGATCTTTTGATTTCTCCTGTTCCCTTCTCCCCTATTTTTCCCTATTTTTTTCCATATATTTTCCTAGAAATCTTACGTGCAAAAGTGCCCTTTTCATTCCTGTTCCCACGATACTCTCATCTAATTTTAAATGACTTTCTTTCAAATTTCCCGAAAATTCTGAATTCTGAACCAATTCTGAATTCAATTCTCAATTCTGAATTCTGAATCAAAAATCTTTTCATTCATTTTTTTCGGAAAATGGATTCCGAAAAAAAGGATGAAAAAAGAAAGCCGAGCCAATTTATCAAGAAATCAAGATAAAAATTGTAGTGTTTCTCTTCTTTTTCCTTGAAAACACAAATTTGTGGGTTCCAAAAAAGCTGTCACACTCAAATCCTCTTATTGGATTAGAGAGGTAAAAAAGGGGGCGGAGCTTAAATGAAAAGAAGGAGCGAAGAGTTCTTTTTTGGGAAATCTCATTTTCTGGGATCTGTTTTCATTCTCTTTTCTTAAAATTTAACTGCAAGACATTTTTGTTCAGTGGAGCGAGATTGCGGTAACTTTTTTTTCTTTTATATATTGGTTTTCATGATAAAATTAAGCATAAAATGAAAAAAAAGAACAATTTTCACTGTTTCTAACCAAATTTCTCATAGTTTTGAAACAGATATTCAACAGATATTAAGAGAACAATTTCAATTTGTCATAGTTTTGTGATTTTCTGAAATAATGCCGAAATGAGAAACAACACCTAGCAAACAACCTTGAAAATTGAAAAAAACACAAAAAATTCGAAAAACTGCAAACGCGCTACACTGAATAATAATTTTTCAGTTCAAAATTGAAGACATTGAGAAATTGAAGATACAGTAGTAAGAAGAGCATACTGTATTCTTTAAAACGTTTAGTAACGATTGCTGAAACTGAAAACTTCTGAATTTCTGAATTTCTGAATTTTTGAATTTTTGAATTTCCGAATTTCTGAATTTCTGAATTTTTGAATTTCTGAATTTTTGAATTTCTGAATTTCTGAATTTTTGAATTTCTGAATTTCTGAATTTCTGAATTTTCGAATTTTCGAATTTTCGAATTTCTGAATTTCTGAATTTCTAAATTTTCGAATTTTCGAATTTCTGAATTTCTGAATTTCTGAATTTCTGAATTTCTAAAATTCTGAATTTCCGAATTTCTGGATTTCTGAATTTCTGAATTTCTGAATTTCTGAATTTCTGAATTTCGGAATTTCTGAATTTCTGAATTCCTGAATTTCTGAATTTCTGAATTTCGGAATTTCTGGATTTCTGAATTTCTGAATTTCTGAATTTCTGAATTCCTGAATTTCTGAATTTCTGAATTTCGGAATTTCTGGATTTCTGAATTTCTGAATTTCTGAATTTCTGAATTTCTGAATTTCTGAATTTCTGAATTTCTGAATTTCTGAATTTCGGAATTTCTGAATTTCTGAATTTCTGAATTTCTGAATTTCCGAATTTCTGGATTTCTGAATTTCTGAATTTCTGAATTTCTAAAATTCTGAATTTCCGAATTTCTGGATTTCTGAATTTCTGAATTTCTGAATTTCTGAATATCTGAATTTCTGAATTTTTGAATTTTCGAATTTCTGAACTTTTTCGAAAAAAAAATCTGTTTCAATTTTCCGTTTTTCTCCTTCTCATCCATTAAAAATGTTCCAAAGAATTGCCACCCTCACTCAACTCATCGAAAATTCTAGAATTCAAAAAACCTCATGTCCCATAAAAATGCTCTCCATGCTCCAAAAAGAGCAAAAGTTTTAAAACATCTCTCCCACTCGTTTGGCACATTTTATTCCCAAAAAGTGCTCCCAATGGAACTCATTCATCGCCTTTTCGCCTCCCCTTTGAATCTCTTTTTTTGTTTCATTTTCCCCTTGATTTTTGGTGTCTTTTCTCTTTTTTTTTCTCACATATATATTTTTTTTTTCATCTACTTCTTTTACTTTTTTCTGACGCTCTATACCCTCAGGGCTCTTTTATAAGAGATTTTTTCTTCTAGACTTCCGTATTTTTTCCCTTTTATCCATAACAAAAAAATCGTATTTTCTAGAAAGATACATATTTTTTGATACAATTTGTGGCGGTTTTTTTCTTTTTTTCCATGGTTCACAGAGCTAGAAAATAAGAAAATCTTTCAAAAAATGCTGAAAATTAGAATTTTGGATTTATTACTGTTTCAAACATTTTGGAAATTGGTTTTGTTTATTTATTAAGACGTTTCGTAACTGTTACAAATTTTTTTTGATTATGAATTCTTGGGTTTTCTAGGCCATGACCTAATTTTTGGATTTTTTAGGTTTTCCGGATTTTCTAGGTCACGACCTAATTCTTTGGATTTTCTAGGTCATGACCTAATTTTTTGGATTTTGTAGGCCATGACCTAATCTTCAGGGTTTTCTAGGCTATGATCTAATTTTTTGTATTTCTAGGCCATGACCTAATTAATCTAGGTAATTAATCTAGGTAAATCTAGGTAATGCATGAATCAATTTTTCAAAAAACTTTCCAAAAAATAAAATGTTTACTGTTTCAAAATTTGTATTTTAAAACTCGGATGATTCGTGAATTCAATATTCGCAAAATAATTTCTTTATCTTTGGAAATTCAAAAATCTATAAAAATAATTCGGATCAATTTTTCAACTAATAAAAAATTACAGTTTCATAGAGAAAATATGACATTTCAAAACTTCACAATCAAGTTCTCTAAGTTTTTTCATACGAATTATCATTCTAAAATTTCGAATTTCAAATATTTAGTGATCATTTGGACAAATACAGTACCCGACAAAATATTCTAATATTTCGACTTTTTTAGTGCAAAGTCAGCTTTGAGGTCTTACAAAAGTATTCCAGAATTTTTCGATTTGTCTGAAAATTCCAGAAAATACTAAACAAAACAAAATTGAAAAAAATGGTACTGCACGCTCTCCCCAGTTGAAAATTTGGCCTTCAAGACTTTTTCTCAGCGGAGCGCGCTTGCATTGTCGTTTAAAAATAGAAAATGAAATTTTGTACTGAAAAATCATATGTTTTTTGGGAAAAAAAAAAGAGTATTACGCTCATTTTTTTCAAGATTTCGTCCATAGAAATTGTTAACAGAGTCGCAGCGGACATTTTAAACACAACATGAGCAGAAATGGACAAGAAATGGAGGAGGAGATAGATTTTGAAGTTTTTGCCTGAAAACGAAAATTTCAGAGGAAAAATCAAAATTTCTCGAGATACATAGAATATTTTAGAAATTATAGAGTAGAATATTGCGAACATTTCAAGACAAGAATTAAGCCAAAAAGTTCAAAAATGAGAGAGGAGATACATTTTTACTGCCGACAACAGGAATATCAGAAAGAAACTCAAAGAATGAATTTAGAGATAAATTGATAAAAAACAACACACTTTAATGGTTTTCGAGTGATATTTACCGTTTTAACATTAATACTCTTTCAAATTCATCATTCTTTTCTCTCTTTTTGTGGATCGCATTGATGTCATTGATGTTACAATTGTATCTTATTCCTCGAAAACTTTTTTTTTCAGAAACACGGGTACAAAGAGATCAGAAGAAGGGGTACAAAACAAACTTGTTTATTCGAAAATTAATTACACAAATAGTAGGTCAGTTGATAGTATTAGAATCCCGTAGACTTCGCCGAAAACTGAAAACATCCAATGGTTGAATTCTGTGCTCGAGAGGAAACGGGAAAATTTTTCTTTTTTCTTTGGAAACTTGGTGGCAACTGGAGACATGAATTTCTTGATGTCCTGTCCTTCGGACTCCTCCTTCTTTGGCTCTTTCTTCGGCACCTTTGGTTTTGCAAATTTCGAGTAATCGCGAAACGAATGATTCGTACGATTTTCCTCGGTCCGTTGCTGAAACTGGAATCAAAACACTGTGAAAAATGTATTATTTATTAGAAAGAAACGGGGAACAAAGTAAAAATCAATAAAGACACAGTAAAACTTAATAGAACAAGCAATTTAACGCTGAAAAGTTTCAAATCGACATATTTGCCGCCGCCTCGTTTTTCGTCTGCGTCTCGTGTTATGCAATTGCGCTCCGCTGGCTTGCAGTCCGGAAATGAAACGGGGGAGAGCGTGTACTGTATAGAAAGAGCGCAAAATTTGAAAGAAAATTACTGTTTCAAAAATACATTTTCATGTTAGTCTGAAATTTTTTTAGTAATCAGTGCACTGAATTTCTGAATTTCTGAATTTCTGAATTTCTGAATTTCTGAATTTCTGAATTTCTGAATTTCTGAATTTCTGAATTTCTGAATTTCTGAATTTCTGAATTTCTGAATTTCTGAATTTCTGAATTTCTGAATTTCTGAATTTCTGAATTTCTGAATTTCTGAATTTCTGAATTTCTGAATTTCTGAATTTCTGAATTTCTGAATTTCCGAATTTCTGGATTTCTGAATTTCTGAATTTCTGAATTTCTGAATTTCTGAATTTCTGAATTTCTGGATTTCTGAATTTCTGAATTTCTGAATTTCTGAATTTCTGAATTTCGGAATTTCTGAATTTCTGAATTTCTGAATTTCTGAATTTCGGAATTTCTGAATTTCTGAATTTCTGAATTTCTGAATTTCTAAAATTCTGAATTTCTGAATTTCTGAATTTCTGAATTTTTGAATTTCTGAATTTCTAAAATTCTGTATTTCTGAATTCAAATTACCAAGTCCCTTTTTTCCGAAATTCTCTAAAAGTGTCCCTCTAACCTTGCTCTTTTCGTGTCCGTTCCTCGTCATCACCTCCTCTTTTTTTCCTTTTCCTCATATATTTTTATCTGTGTACCTTTAAGATTACTGTCCCTTTTCTCTATTCTTTCTATGACCTTCGTCGGGCAAGGGGAAGGATGCAAAAATTGTGTTGCAAAAATTCTCTTTTTTGCACAATAAGGTCAGGAATTTTTGGGGTCATTGGGAACTTATTGACACTTTTCGAAGCGAAAAATGATGTCAATAACGTGGGAAGTTTTGATTGGGAGCTCGGAAAAAGAATGACGTGATGTTGGGAATGCGCTCTATCGAGAAAAAAAAAAGAATCTAGAAAATGTTGAAAACAACAAAGCTCAATCTTCAAAATTAGAATACCGGAAAGCCTGTAATAGAAGGCATCATGTTTGAGCTCGATTATCTCAATTCCTATGAAAGATATCAAAAATAGGTCAGTTGATAAAATGTATGTGATATTATGATAAACTTTTTATCAGGTGACAATTTTTTTGATATCTTTTACAGAAAGAGAGATAAAAAACGAGATAAACTGGCTCAAAGTTAAAAGTTGGGGGCCCTTCTATTACAATGGTTTTTTCTGCATAAGACAGAGGAAATGATTTGGATTAATTGGAAAATTTCAAACAATCATATGTTTAGTATACTCTGAAATTTTCAGATAAATCAAATAATTCTGAAATACTTTTGTAGGACTTCAAAGTTTTACGTTTTCGGAAGGTATGCAAATGCGCTCTAACGAGAGGGTGCCGTCCTAAGAGATAAATTGGGACGAGAGTGCACTATAGTGAGAGACGCAAAGAAAATTTTCTTGATCTGCAATTGTAGCTATGATAATACGTTCCGGTGTCTGTATCTGAACTTCCTAATTTTAATTTTTGTAAATTCCAATTGTTTTGGAACAGTAAAATCTCAAAAATTCGACGTTGAAGTAAGAGAAAACGCGCTTTGTTGTGACATTTGCAACCGTTAGTCAGATTGAACATACTAAAAATTTCTGTAAAAATGAATGAAATTTGAAACAGTAATATTTCGAAAAATCTGCTTCTTGTAAAACTGCTTGCGTATACTGTAGTTAGTCCTGACACAAAAGCAATGGTCTAATAGAAAGCTGAAATTTCAGAACTTCACATTTTCTCCACGGAACTGTAATTTTTTTTGAAATAAGTAAAAAATCTAAAATATTCAAACACCTCGGGATATCGTTGTGTGGCGACATCGGAACTTTTCAGATTTTTTAAAATTGAAACAGGAATTTTTTTACTCAAAAAAAATTATGTAAGCTGCAATTTCAAAAGTGCGCTCTATTGCTAAATACCGTTAACACTCTAATAGAACGCCACCATGACCGTCCACTTTGTGCCTAAATATCTCACTCCTTTTGAAAGATATCAAAAAGTGGTCAACTAACAAAATGTTTATCATAATATCAGCAACATTTCATTAATTAACTACTTTTTGATACCTTTCACACAAAATGAGATACATGGGCTCAAATTTGACGATTCGGGTGGCGCTCTATTAGAGTGTTTTAGGAATGTGTTTTTTTTCAAATTTCAAATTCTAAAGTGTTAAGAAAATCGTAATATAATCGATTTAGGAATTTTGAGATTTACAAAAATTGAAACAGTAATTTTTTTTCTAAAATTTTTGCAGAATTTCCGTTCTTTGAACATTTTCACCGCTCTATTTTTGTCTCTCTCATTATTAATCCCTCATTTACATATTTTTCATATTTTCCTCTTTTTTTCTTTCCACTCTCTCCAATTAGCCAATCTATCCACTTATTTTCACTTCTGCATCAAAATTTTCTTCTGTTTCATTTCCCATTGGAATTCTCGAATATTTTCATTCTCTATTCATCTTCATTGTCATCCAAAAAAAAAATGCTATCAGACCGTTTCCGTTATTCAGTGATGGATTTCACCCGTGAAGCGTTGCTCGCCGAGCTCGAGCTCAAGGATGATATCATTGAGCAGCTACGCAAGGAGCTCGAAGAGTACCGTATACAAAACTCGACTCGAAAAACTGCAATTTCGTCGGAACCGGATGTTCAGGTCAAGCGTCCAATTATTGGGAAAAGTGATGAGTGAGTGAGAGGGAAATGGGATTACTGTAGAAGTTTCACTGTTTCAAAAATTCGTATTAGGTTGGCAGGAAAGTAACTGTCCCTTGTTTTAATTGCGAATAATACAAAAACCAGGTTAAGCCAAGATTAGCAGTATGCACCGTCGTGGTCCATAGCATGTTGGCAACATTCAGGTATCTTGTGGATATCCTTCCTCCATAAGCGAGCTAGTCGCGGATCAAAGAATTCTTTTTTTTTTTAGTTTTTTCTCATAAATGGTGCAAAATTCATCACCCTCTAGATGACTTCGTATATCTCCGAATAACCTATAATTTGATAGAGTCAAGTCGGAGCTATAACTAGGTGAGGGAGAACCGTCTCGCTGAAGCGGCTCAGGTCTGACTTGCCTGTCGTAAAAAAAATGAAAAAACCGCATGTTCACAGAAAGTCACGTCGTTCCTCAGCCGCTTTGGCTGGACGGTTCTCCTTTACCCCGTGAAAGTTCTGATTTTGTTTTATCTGATTATTGGTTATTCGAAGATATACGACTTCATCTGGAGCGTAAGGACTTTAACATTATCGCTGAGAAAAAAAAGGGCTACAGTAATACTTTGATTCGCGCCCAGCCGGCTTTTGGAGGGATGGTATCCACGAGTTACCTAAATGTTGACAACATGTTGCGGACCACGACGGTGCTTGTTTTTATGTTATTCACGAATTAAAAAATGGACAGTTACTTTCCTGCCAACCTGATAATTTGGAACAATAATTTTTACTTTACATTATGGATGCGAAGAGACCCATTTTGACAACGTTGAATTCACAGAATTTTTTGGAAAATTGCTAGTTTCTCAGATGTTTGCCGATTTCTGAAAAACACCTGCTTTTTCCCGTTTTCAGGGCAAAAAAGTGGCTTCTTTCAAAAGTCGACAAGCATCTGAGAAACTAGAAATTTTCAACAAATTCTGAATATACAAAATTCTCAAACTAGGTCTGTTTTATACCCTTCAAAATTCACAAAGTGATGGTGAACTTGACAGCCGAGCTCCAGACTCCTGAAATTGGTCAAAATAGCCGAAAATCTACTAAAAAAACCTTTTCTAATATCTTATTGTATTACTGTTGCAATACTAATATTAAATGTGTTGGATCCCCATCTTTAGTTTTACATCAAAACTTTGGATTGAACAAAAAATTATATGCAAAAACTAATAAAAAACTAAATTTCATGGAAAATAAATTTCGGAGAAAATTTTTTTACTGTTTCAAAGTTTTCTGAAAACTTCGAAGAAAGGAAATGTGTCCGCTGTGTGGAACGTAACGTAAGCATATGTATTTCATGACTTAAAAGTGGTGTACGGTGAAATTTTTTATTGCATCAAAATGTGCAGAAAAGCATGTATATTGACATTTAAGAAAAAGAAAAAATTCAAAAAAAAATCCTTCAGCGGGAAAAACGCATCGAAAAATATGACTTTTTAAAAATTGTTTTCTTTATTTTTATGTCAATCTGCATTTTCTACACATTTTAATGCAATAAAAATTTCACCGTACACCACCTTTCATTAGAAAAAATATCTTTCGAAAATTCCTATTTTGAGAAGTTTTTAGTTGAAAATTGTTTTTTTTTTCCAAATTTTCGCAAACTGAAAATTTTTAATTTGAAATTTGAAAAAACCAGAAAAAGACTTTGAAAATCCCAAAAATTGCCTATTTCTGGAACATTCTAGAAGTTTCTGGAAATTGGTTGAATTCCCGCACAAACTGAGAAATCTCAAATTTTCATGTCCGAAACTTTTCTAGAATTCATCAAAAATTTTCAGTTTTGGCAAAAAAAAAGAGTAAATTTTCTTGATTTTCATTTGATTGTGCCTAGTCAAATATGAAAATTTTGTTGGGTCTCCAACTTGTGTATTAATATTACGAAAAAAAAAATCTAAAAAATATTTTTTTGAAACAGTAACATTTACATTATTTTTTTTTCACTTTTTTCAATGTTTTAAATTGATAAATCATAAAAAATTCTGAGAAAAAACCAACCACCTAACTTTGAGCTCAATTATCGCAGTTCTATAGAAGATATCAAAAAGTGGTTCACTGATAAAATGTTTATCATAATATCATCAATATTTTATCAGTTGACAATTTTCTGATATCTCTTACAGTAATCCAGATAAATTGGATCAAAGTAAACATCTTTTTTCTAGGTTACATGATTTTTCGAAAAGAAAAAAGTAGATTCAAAAATAAACTAAAACCCCTATCACATCATAAAAATTACATGACAATTTGTCTCAAATAATCTAAAAAGTCAATAAAATTCATTTTAAAACTAGACAGATTCCTCAGGAAAGAAAAAAAACATGTGCTTTGCCCTCATGGTATCATTTTCCGAAAATTCTCCGAGAAAAAAGACTTTGCTCTTTGCACGAAAATGTTGTGCTCTCAGCTTTTGGGGTCAAACAGATTACTGTCTCTCCTCCCGAGAAAAGTGGGCGGAGCTTGAAAAGTGTAGGAAAAGGAGAAGAAGAGGAGTTCATTTCATTGTGTTCAGAACATTTTTGTGATATTTTAAGTTTGCTGGAAATCTGAAAAACTGAAAGTTTGAAAATGAAGGCATTAAGATACCGAAGAGATTTGTTCCGTAGTCGTACTCAACGGTATATTCCAAAAAGGTTAGTTTTCAAGTTTTTTGGGGTTATTAAAATTCAAATCATGATTAATTGATTATAATTAACTAAATTGCTTCTAGAAATTTTTGAAACAGTAAAACTTCAAAAATTCAAAATTTTGGTTTCATTTAAAAAAAAATCTATAGAGAATAGTGAAAAATATCAACAGTTTTCAAAACTTTCATTTGAAACCATAATATTTTTCGTCTTTTTTTATAAACCGAATAATTTTTTTTCTGGAAATTTTTGAATTTTTTTCAAGGGATGATCAGTAAATTTTGATTTAAAGAACCAATTTTAAGATCTCCATCTGAAACAGTAATTTGGATTTTTTAGAACAAAATTTTTTCCCTAAAAAATTCCCCAGAAATCTTTGAAAACTTTTCATCGACTGTTGCGAGACGGATTATCTGAAACTTAATTTTAAATGAAATTTTGAAAAAATTGAAACAGTAAAAAATCAAAATTCGAAATTAGCCGTTTCAAAATATCTACAAAACTTTATAATGTGCAAATTTTGGATTTAACTAGCTTTGGAAAACCAAAAGAACTGAAAATTTCAGATAAAAATGAGAGGAAACGTTGTTGTTTCAAAATTTCCATGAAAACTTGTAAACATTTAAAATCCTAAGTTTCAAAAATTCTTCATTTAAAAAACAAAAGGGAAAAAATTGTCAGATAAATGCCGATGATTTAATAGTTGGCTCTTTTCTAGTTTAGAGGTCCCAAAAAAATTTGGAGGTCCGAAAAAAATTAGAGGCCCCAAAATAAAATAGAGGTCCGAAAAAAAATTAGAGGTCCCAAAAAAGTTTAGAGGTCCCAAGAAAAAATAGAGGTCCGAAATTTGAAAAACGCGCAGACATTAGAATAATGTACCAGAACTTGGAGTTTTGAGTTTTGAGGCTCTCTAGGATGATAAGAGCGGAAATGTGACTTCTCCCGATAGTTTTTACTTCATTTCTTATTTGTCTTTCTTATGGACCCCAATTTACATATAAGCAAAATTTCGGCAAACAGTAACGCCTGCGTGAATAAGCTTTCTCTCAGGCTTAGATAATTTTCAAAAATATGCATCTCTAAGCATATTAAAAGTATAAAATATATCATCAACACTTATTTTTTTAATAACACCGCAGAATTTTAATTTTTTACACAGTTCAAATTCTGTTACACTGTTCCAATATTTGTGCGTCTTTCAAGTTTTGGACCTGTATTTTTTCTTGGGACCTCTAAACTAGAAAATAGCCAAAAATTCTACAGTTGGAAAAATGAAGATAATTATTGTGCTAGAATTAGAATTTTCTACGAAACGTTTTTTTTTCATTCTGTGGAATAGAAGAACATACCGTAATCAAAGGACAAAGTCTTTTCTGGAGAATTTTGACCATTTTCAGGAGTTTCTTTGAGAAATTCGAAAATCGTCTAGTTTTCAAAATTTTATTGACTTTTCGGATTATTTGAGACAAATTGTCATGTAATTTTTATCATGTGCTAGGAATTTTAGTTTATTTTTGGATATATTTTTTTACTTTAAAAAATCATGTAACCTAGAAAAAGATCTTCCAATTTTGATTAAATTTATCTAGGTCACTGTAAGAGATATCAAACATTGGTCAACTGATAAATTACTTATCACAATATCACCAACATTTTATCAGTTGACCACTTTTTGATAGCTTTTAGAGAAACCGAGATAAATTTGATCAAAGTTAAAGGCTCCGAAATCTAAGTTACATGAATGTTTGACAGAAAAAACGCAGCTTAAAAATTAAGCCCGAAATTGAGCTAAGTTTTATCCATCTAAATGAAAAATGGCAATTCCAGAGCTTTCGAAACTATTGGAAACGCGCTCTGTCGCAATACGTTCCTCCGAAATCTCGATTCTGCTCAAATCGAGAAAATCTCATCGGCCATGTATCCGGTTGAGGTTCAGGCTGGAGCCATTATCATTCGTCAAGGCGATTTGGGATCGATTATGTATGTCATCCAAGGTGAGACACTTTTTTCTGTATTGTTGCGTGACGGTGTACGTTGATTGGTGTATACACCTTCATTTACACTATAGGAGCTGACTACATAGCTCAGTTTTTGTCAGAATCGTCTAAAAACACTAATATTAGAGGCGCCTAAAATTCAATAAAATTACTTTTTTTGAAACAGTAAAATTTTGATTTAAAAGTTTGAGAAATTGTCTAACACTTTGTAAAAAATAAGTTCTTTGAAATGTTTTTCGGCATACTTTGGATCAATGAACTGAAATAAATATGAATCATATTCAAATAAATATTTCCTGAAACAGTAGTTTTTGTTGTTGAAAAATTACTGTTTCTATAATTTTTTGAAATCTGGACTTCCATTTTTCTGAGATAAAACGACAGGGTATTCCCAAAATAAATTTCCAGAAGGAAAAGTTCAAGTCGTCAAGGACAACCGTTTCGTTCGTACAATGGAAGAGGGAGCCCTCTTTGGGGAATTGGCAATTCTCCACCATTGTGAGAGAACTGCAACTGTTCGAGGTAAGCTAGCTTATCTTTTAAAGTTTACTACAAAAAATAATCTAAAAATAATTTTTCTGATCACTGTAGTTTTTCAATACGGCTTTTTACGAAAAAAAAAACTTTTTTCAATTTTTTCCGGATTACAAAAATTACCGTTTCAAAATTTTCATTTTTATAAACCAACTGAAATTAATATACTTTGACATTTATAATTTGTTGGTCTTTTCTTGTTGTCGCATAAAATCTACTATAATTTTTCAGACACCCAAAGTTTACAATCTTTATTTAAAAATAGGGAAAAGGAGGTTATTTTTAAAACTCGGTTTCTAAATTTTTAGTTACTAGACGCATTGATATATCAAACTTGAAATTCGAAATCTGAAACAGTAATTTTTAAAAATCATAATGCGCAAAAATAGGGCTTCGACAGATTTCAATTTTTAATACAAAATTTATAAAAAAACATTTTTATTCGTTGTCTCTGAAAATCAACATTAAAGGAGGCGAGACAGCAAAAATTTCGGGGGACAGTTCATGAAAAAAAATAATGTTCTCGAAATTCCGTTCAAAGATGCCCCTCGAGGAGTTGAACTTGTGAGGGCGATGATTGAGGGTGCGGCGCCGCTACCGACTGAGCCACGCGGGCAAAGAGAAAGCGCACGCCCGATTGCATACATAAAGGCGAGGACGACAGCTGTACGCAGAGTGACATTAAGCGTTGTACACCGTCACGGTAGAATGCATACTCTAGCTATAAAAAAACTACGAAAAATCTCCTGTCCCCCCACCTTTAAACAAACGCTCCAAAGTTGGAAAAATTTTGAAACAGTAATTTGTCGATTTCGAAAAGGCCTACCAAAAATATGGTACTTTTTTGTAAAATACAAAAATCTGGATGTTGGAAAGTTTGAGTGTCTTCCAAAAAAAGTACTAAAATCTCTGATTTTCAAATGAAAAATGTTAGTTTTACACTGCATTACAAAATGGAAAACGAAAAAAAAACTGTTTCAAAAAATATTCGAATTTTTCGAAACAGTAATTTTTTCCTGTTTCAAAACTTGTATTTTTCAAACCCCCGAATATTAAATTCATTGTTGACTGTCTGTATTTTTTGACCTTTTTCAAAAACAAAAATCATATCTTCTCGTATCCTATTTTTATCATTAATTTGATTATTTTCGTGTCTACTCATTCACTAAAAAAAAATACAAAAATTGTTTTTTTTCTCAAAACCTGTTACAAAAAGTCAACATGTTTGCAGAAAAGAAAAAGGTTATCAATCTGTTTCAGCAAGATCAAACAGAAAAACAGAAAATTTCTGATCTTTTAAGATTTTTTTGTTGATCATGTGATTTTTTTAAAAGAAAAAAAACTGAAAAATTGAAATCTGTCTCTTCGGGGTGGTACGACGGATCGGACATTTCCCAAAATGAAATAGTAGCAAAATGAAATGTTTCTGAATCGAAATACTTCCAAATTGAAAAATTTACGGAATGAAAACTGTCCGAAAGCAGAAAAGGCGAAAATGGAATTGTCCTAAAGTAGAACTGTCCCGTTTTGGACAGCTGTTAACAATAGAGCGCTCACGCTAACAGCTGTCCGAAACGGTACAATTTCACTTTAGGCATTTCTGTTCCATCCAATTTATACTTCCGGACAGTTCTGATTTCGCACAGTTTTCAATTTGGAACCATTTTGATTTAGGAAATGTTCATTTTGCTACAGTTTCATTTTAGGAAATCTCCAATCCGTCGTACCACTCTCTTCTGTAAAAACTGCAAATTTTGAAAATCGGAAAGTATGTAATTTTGTTTTGAACCAGTAATTACACACAGTAAGCACTGTGAAACTAAAATCCTGTCAAATCATAAAAAAAGGAATTTTTTCAAAACGTATTTTTTCGAAATTTATTTTTCAAAATCCTAATTCCGACATTTTGAAAATTACTTTTTTTTCAAATTTGAAACAGTAATTTTCTAAAAGTAGTTTTCCAATTTCTAGGCTTTGGGATTTGATTTTTAAAATTAAGAAAATTAAGTTTGCAACATTGTTTTTAGGATAATCTAGGTAATGACCTAATTTTTAGATTTTCCAGGTCATGACCTAACTTTAGGGATTTTCTAGGCCATGACCTCATTTTTGGACTTTCTAGGTAATGCATGGATCAATTTTTCAAAAAACTTTCCAAAAAATAAAATGTTTACTGTTTCAAAACTTGTATTTTAAAACTCGTATGATTCGTGAATTCAATATTCGCAAAATAATTTCTTTATCTTTGAAAATTCAAAAATCTGAAAAAAATAATTCGGATCAACTTTTCAACTAATAAAAAATTACAGTTTCATAGAGAAAATATGAAATTTCAAAACTTCACAATCAAGTTCTCTAAGTTTTTTCATACGAATTATCATTCTAAAATTTCGAATTTTAAATATTTAGTGATCATTTTGACAAATAGAGTACCCGACAAGATATTCTAATATTTCGACTTTTTTCAGTGCAAAATAGTCAACTTTAAGGTCCTACAAAAGTATTCCAGAATTTTTTGATTTGTCTGAAAATTCCAGAAAATACTAAACAAAACAATTCACTCCTTATTTCTTCAAAACCTTCGAATAAACGAAATATATATAAACAAAATTTTTAAAAAGTGATGCTGTATAGACAGAATGCAAAATTTGAAAGAAAATTACTGTTTCAAAAATACATTTTTAGATTTTCCAGGTCATGACCTACTTTTCGGAATTTCTAGGTCATGATCTAATTTTTTGGATTTTCTAGGTCATTTCTTGGATTTCTGGGTCATGACCTAGTTTTTTGGATTTTCTAGGTCATTTCTTGGATTTCCAGGTCATGACCTAGTTTTTTTCGATTTTCTAAGTTTTGAAACTTCATTGAAAAAAGGCACTATCTTGAATTCAATGTTTTTTATCAAAGGAATTTTTTGAAACGGTAATTTTCAGATTTTTAAACATTTTTCAGTTTCAATGCTTTTTCTCAACCCGTAAATTGATGACCCGAAGATTTCAAAACTCTTTCATCACTTTTTTTTCCCTTCCCGGCTAGACAAAAACACATTTTGTTTTCAGTCTACCCCCCAAAAAATGAAATAAAACACAAAGAAATGACGAGATTCACTCTTCTAAAGCGCAAAGATTCAAAATGACGTTAATTGGTCAATTTGGGGACATATTTTTACAACTAATTAAGCCAGTGACGAAAAAAGAACAAAAAAAGGGAAACGGGAAATGATGTCAGTGTTTATACACATCATTTTGGTTTTGGACCGTTTAGCATGTTTCGTTCATTACTTTTCTAATTCGGAGAAAATCCTAGATATGAAAAATTTAAAAAACTAATGAAAAACGTGATTTTAGGAAATTCCATGAGCAATATTGAAATCTAGAGAATCCAGAGAAATACAAATAATTGAATCGAATTTGTTCAAAAATTTGAAAAGCCAACCACCTGTACAATTGATTACCGAAATTTGAAGTTCGATTTTTACAAAATTTTGAAACAGCAAAAAAAGAACCAAAATTCGTAAAAAGTTGTCCGAAGTTGTACCAAAAAACTCGAAATTTTCTGAAAAAAAGTTTGACACTCATTTTGCACATTTATATTTTAGCAAAGTACAGTACCCCAACAAAAATATATCTTGTTATGACTTTTTTTCAGAGAAAAATAGTCAATTTCTGAATCCTACAAAAGTGGTTCAGAACTTTCCAATTTGTCTGAAAATTTCAGACTATATTAAACGAAAATTGAGCTTTAATTTAAAAATATAGTTTTAATTCTGATAAGATATGCAGTTTGTAACAAAAAAGTACCTAAATTAGTTTTGAAAAGATAGTTACCGTAAACACTCTAATGGAATGTCACCTGAATTGTCAAATTTGAGCCCATGTATCTAATTTTCTGTGAGAGATATCAAAAAGTAGTAAACTAAAAAATAGTAGTAAACTAAAAAAATCAGTATTATAATTAGAAAGAGCCAAAAATTTCAGAAAAAAATAATTGGGAAAAATTGTTTCAAGGGTTTTTTTAGGTTTTGAAAGTGAATTATGGACAAAAAGGGTCTGTCTATCAGTTCGAAAAATTCTAATTAAAATAATGATTTTTTTTTGAAACAGCAATTTTTTTTTGAATTTCAGTGTTAAAAAAACCAAATTTGATGTCCTACAAAAGCAGTCCAGAATTTTTCACTTTGTCTGAAAGTTTCAGACTATAATAAACGAAATTAGAGCTTCATTTTTGTAGTTGACAAGATTTTGGGGAAATCCAACGAAATGAGATAGGCGGTTTTAAAAGGACATACCGTAAACTCCCTATTAGAACGCCACCCGGACCGTCCACAACAAAATTCATGGATTTTACGAAATTTTCAGATGAAAAATATACATTTACATTAACACATTTTAAGGACCAGAATTTTTATTTAAGGACCAGAATTTTTTCTAAGGACCAGAATTTCATACTAGAGCCAAATTTTTGATCCCTAAGTTCTTCGATGCCTTTTTTCCATCCCCATCGACAATTTTTGATCCCAAAAGTCTTGTTATCAATAACAATATAACTGACCAAACTTAATGAATCAGTCTCCGGGATCAAAATGTTCCTCTCCCTGTCAATTTCCTTGTCTACACCCTAAATTTTTTACTGTTTCACAACAAATTTGTCTGATATAGTCAAGTAATGATCACTGAAACCCCTGATCTCTGAAAAAACTTGTTTTTTTGTTTATTTCCAATTTCTTTGGAAATCCAGTTTGAATTAATCCAAAAGAATGGAAAAATCTAGAGAACATATAATTAGTCATGAAATTGAACTAATTAGTGATGATCGAGGAAAATATTATTCCTTGTGATTTTTTTTCCGTTTCAAAACGTTTTGCGTCTGATGACTTGTCTGGAACTTTTATTCCAAAATTTACTGTTTCAAAAATCTTTTTTTTTTCACCAAATGTTTTTCTCTATTCACTTCATTATCTAAATTCATAGAAATTGCTTCAAACATTTCATGTTTGAAAAGATTTTCTTGTCTAACTTTTTTTTCAGAAATTTAAAAATTACTGTTTCAAAAATTGCCCATAAGCCCATAGCAAGATTATCTAAAGATTCACCGAACCATGTGAGAATCAAAAATTGCTGTTTCGAATTTTTTTTGGATTTTCAGAAATCCTGATAATTTAGTTAATTGTAGGCGGAAATTTTTACAATACAGTAACCAAAAAAATACTTTTGTCAAAATTCTATGTGTCGACAATTTGAAAAATCGCGAAATTCAAGAATTCAATATTCAAAAAATTACTGTTTCTCAAAAATCCAAAAAATTTATTTTCATTTAAAAAGTTTTGATATGTAGTTTTTATGCCCAGTGCGAATTATTGATTTTTGAATAATTTTTTCTAAAAATGAAACATTCAAAAAACTTCACTGTTCCAAAAATTTTGCTTTCGCAAATCTCTGTTTACAAATTTTAGTAGATTTCCATCCGTCCAACAAATAATTCAAACTTAAAATTTCAATTCAAAGCAAAAAAGAAAAAAATGTAGATTTTAACAAGATTGGGAGTCTAGAGCTCGGCTGTCAATTTTCCAATCACTTTGAAAATTTTTGAAGACCGTTAAAGAGATCTCGATTGAAGGCTAGTGCTAGAAAATGTTACTGTTTCAAAATCTTTCATTTACCAAACTTTCATATTCTCTCATATTCTATTGGAATTTCATCCATTTTCAGCCATCGAACATTGCCAATTGTGGGCAATTGAAAGAAACGTATTTCACGCGATCATGATGGAATCGGCTCGCGAGAAGACAATGTCGTTCAAGCGTCATCTCAAGTACTCTGCTCGTTTCGGCGGTTATCCGGAAGAGGTTCTTCTGAGAATCGCTGAATTCTGTACTGAAATGAGATATGAAGCAAGGGAGGAGTTGGTTGTCAAACCACAGTATGTCTACTTGGTTTGCAGAGGATCGGTTAGTTTACTTTTTGTTGGATATGTCATAACACCTTTATTAGAAGGGCCAACCAAGCTAAATTTGGTCAAAGTTAGTGGGCCTATTAATGACAAGCGATTTTTCCAAAGTCCCTTTTACAGCACATTTCGTGGTTGCAAAAGATCAAGCTATCTCTCCACTTTTTAGTTTTTTTTTCTAGATTCTAATTTGTAATTTCAGCCAATTAGCGTTTGCATCTTTTCAACATAATATAGGGCAATTATACTATTTTTTCTTCTTTTTTCTTGAAATCGTACAGTTTTGATTGCTCAGTTTTCATAAAAGTTTGCAGGAATTCATAGAAACTGAGGAAATAAAACTGATTTAAAAAAAAAGAATAATTTCTTCAAAAAATTTTGGAAACGGTAATTTTTTTAGCCGTTAGCTCAAAAATATGAAAATTAGCTTTGAGTAATTTTTTCTCGAATCCTATAAGAGATATGAAGAAGCTGTCAACGGATAAAATGTGTATCTTGCCTATCATCTGAATAGCTTGCCTATCATCTGAAAATTTTTGAAAAAGAATTTTCTAAACCAGAGAAAAACCGGAATTTTTGATTGACAGTTATTACAGTAGCGAGAGAGTGTGCACAGTAGAGAGACTCAGAATGCACCGAAAACGCGTCAACAAAAATTTTGAGAACTCGATTCGCGCTTTGGAACACCGTGTATTAGGTTGGCAGGAAAGTAACTGTCCTTGTTTTATTTGTGAATAATACAAAAGCATGATTAATCCAAGATTAGCATTATGCACCGTCGTGGTCTACGACATGTTGGCAATTTTCAGATAACTTGTGGATACAATACCTTCAAAAGCCAGCTAGCCACGCATCAAAGTATTCATTTTTTCCTGTTTTTCACATAAATGGTGCAAATTTTCGAATTCTCTAGATGAGATTGTATATCTCCGAATATCCAATAATCTGATAGAGCTCAGTCGGGACTGTAATTAGATGAGGGAGAACGGTCCCACTGAAGCTGCTCACGTCTGACTTGACTGCAGGTAAAAAATGAAAAAACCTCATGTTGACGGAAAGTCACGCCGTAATTGAGCCGCTTTGGCTAGACGGTTCTCCTTTACCCCCCGTTAAAGACTTGATTCAGCTCTATCAGATCATTGGTTATTCAAAAGTATACGACGTCATCTGGAGCTTAAGGACTTTAACACACTTGATGCCTGAAAAAACGGACAGGAGGGATACTTTGACTTGCCAGCAGCTGGCTTTTGGAGGGATGGTATCCACAAGTTACCTGAACATTGCCAACATGTTGTGGATCACGACGGTGCATATTGCTAATTCTGGATTATTCTTGTGTTTGTGTTATTTACTAATTAAAAAATGGACAGTTACTTTCCTGCCAACCTAATACCGTTTTAAACATTTTATAATTATTTTTGCAATTGAAAATTTCAGATCAAAAAGTATCGAAATTGGATCGATTACTGTAAAAAATCCATTGTTTTACAAAACTTTTGTTTTTCGAAACATATATTGTTCGATTTTTTTCAATTCGATCAAATTTTGTAAAACTAGTTTTTTTGAATTCGTGAAGCTGATATTTTTCAGCTGAAAAAACATAAGAAATTTTTTGAACTCTACTGAGAAACGACCAAAACTAAATTTTTACTGATTCAAAAATAGGTTTGTTGAAACATTAATTTTTGCTAGTCATTTCCATTTTTTTAAGGTCAGTATGAAGAAAACAAATTTGCATATTTAAAATTATCTTTTAAGGGGAAAAATTCAATTTTGAAGTCCTAAAAAAGTAGTCCAAAGTTGTTCCATTTGTCTGAAAATTTCAGAGTATACTAAACAAAAAAAGAGCTTCAATTTTGTAGTTGACCACTTTCTTTTTTCTCAAAATTCCATTCTGTTGAGATATGCCGTTTGGAAGCAAAAAAAGTGCCAGAAATTAGTAGTGTCACTTTAAAGCCGCTTATCTCGCTTTGTTGGATTTTCACAAAAATTGAAATATTTGCCTTTTTTTTATTGAAGAATTGGTTGTTTTTGTGATAAAAGAATTGCACTCATCACTGTAAAATTTCACTGTTTCAAAAATCCGTTTTTTGAAACAGCAATTTTTACTTCGTAATGCGAATTGAATCCGTACTTCCAGAATTATATTGAATTAATACTTTAAAATTTAAAGATTTCAAATTTTTCTCCTTATTTAGTTGTTTGTTCTTTATTGTTTTTAAGATTAAAAATTCACATAAGATTGTATATGGTGGTTTTTAAAAACGTTCCGAAAAGCAGCTCTAAAACGAGGGTGGTGCCACTTTAAAACCGCTTATCTCGTTTGGACAACTTTGCACGGAAAATTCGTCAATTACAAAAAGAAAGCTCTATTTTTGTTTAGTATACTCTGATATTTTCAGACAAATCCAAAGAATTTTGAACTACTTTTGTAGGACTCCGAAACTGACTATTTTCTAACGAAGAATTTCGCGTATTTTAGTCCAGGTACTGTACTTGGCAAAAAAGTTAGAAAGTGCAGAAAAACATTTTTTTTTCCAGAAATTTTCGAACTCTGAAAATTTCTGACAAATCGAAATATCCTGAATTACTCTTGTAAGTCTTCAAAAATGCTTATTTTTCACAAAAAACATGAATTGTTATTTGCTAAGCTTCCATGCTGAACGTTTAGAAACTTTTCCCTGTTTCAAAAATTCGTTTTTTGAAACAGCAATTTTTATTTTACAATAAGCCTCTCCGTGTTCCACAAGATTTATATATTCCATTGAATTCAAAATTCTCCTCAAAATTTCAAAATGTTTCCAAAGAATCCTAGAGTTCACAACACACTTCTCAGAAAATAAGTTTCTCGATCCCTTTCTCCTCAAAAATCATTCATTCCCTTCCAACCAACTGATAACCTCTCTGGCTGGTACATTTGCCCTCAACCCTCTCTCCACAGAGAAATAGTGTCTATTTTCAAGAGACGCCAGAGATCAAAAGCCACGTTACGATTTTTCTGCTGTCTCAAAGGCGCCTGGCGCCATCATGATGTAGGAGGAAGGAAGAAGAAAAATGAACGCACGTTGATCACCTCAAAAAGACACGTGGATTCCATGTGAACCTAATTTTTTGGTTGGAGAGGATTACTGTAGTTCTCGAAATTTGAACTTTTAACGATTACTGTAGTTCTCGAAATTTGAATTTTTAACGATTACTGTAGTTCTTACAACCTTCTTAAGGATCACATGACCTGGTTGATCTAAAGTTTTTGAATCATTCAAAACAAATAAGTCCTGAAATAAATGTTTTGGACTATTTTTAGTCTGAAATTCGTCATTTCCAGATCCAAATAGACCCATAAAAAGTCAGAAGATTACGAAAAGAAACAAAAAAAAGACGTCATTTTTTGATCTTCAATTTCAAGATAAACAAATAGAATTTTGATCTTGAAAATGTATACTAACAACTCGTGAATTAAAGATTTCGAAGGGGTGAAAATCGAAAAATTGAAAATTTGAAACAGTAATATTTTTAGAATTTCTAAAAAAATCGGAGTTTTGCGATTTTAAAGTATTGAGAACTATTGAACTGAAAAGCAAGATTAAAACCAATTTCAAACCATAGCCGAGCTTTTGAGATACAGAAAATCTAGGCCACCAAAAGCGATTTCGAAACAGTGATTTTAAAAAAAAGTTACTGTTTCAAAAAAAGAAATTTACAATTTGACTAGTTTTGAGCACTATTCCAGCTTGTGCAAGCCTATTTTTCACTTGTTTATCCTCGAAATCCCTTGAAAATGGCAACATTTCCTTATCAGTGATGTTCGGTTTATATCATTAAATTAATTAATCAATTAAACCCAATTAGCCAATTCATCATACTGTAGTCCGTTGGTCAGGGGGGCTATAATCGAATTATCCCTTCTTATTCATTTCCGCTTCAATTTTCAATTTTCAATTTTCAACCCCTCTCTCCCCCTTAAAACTTCCAATTTCTTATCATTATCACTACAATCATTGTCATCTCCTCTGCGTCTCTCACTCTCTCACTATTTTACCATCTTTTCCCTCTCCTCATTCCTCACACTCTCTCATCTCTCATAATTCTGTCACGTTGTACTCTGCAAGTGGCAACCGACCAAATGACACTTTCCAGAAAACTGATCAAACCGGAGAGAGAGTGTGGCGAAGTGAGAGATTGCTAGAGAAACGAGAGTCACGTGATTTCGTCCACTGATAAGACGGGTGGGAACATGTGAAATTGTTTACAACATTTCTGGTTTGTTGATCCTATTGGAAGTGATTGGGTGCAGAGAACAATAGGTGTTTATTTTTGTTTTTGGTCCAGGATGAGAGGGCCAAGTGTCAAGAAATCTGAAATTTTGGGTCTGAAGCTTGTTTAAAGGCACAGGGACATAAAAATAATTCTCTGGAAATTTCATTTGCTTGAGGCGTTGATCTTGTGGACCAACCGTTGGAAGTGACGCTCTCGAAATTTAAAAAATTACTGTTTCAAATAATTGGAATCAGCTGTGTTAAATAATTTCTGGTGATTCATCTATATCAGATTCAAAATAGACAATTTTAACAAAAAAGCTAAATTTTTGAAAATCCTTTTTCATTAACATGGATTTCCAAATTCTCGAAATTATAAAAGTACTGTTTCAAAAATTTCAAAATCTCATGTTACGACATTCTTTTTTATTGCATTCAAGTCGTTAGTTTCAAGCTGATTGCAAAAAATTAAATTCAGAATATTGAAAATTGGGGGAAAATCCAAAAAATTTTGTTCAAATTTTGAAACAGAGGAAAATCTTTAAAATTTGAAAATTTTGACATAGTCATTTTTTTTTTAATGGCAAAATTTTCCGATTTGTTCGAAGCTAGAAAATGACAATTTTTAAATATTACTGTTTCACAATTCCTAAAATTCTTGAGGGGTTTCTAGAAACTTGTTTATATTCATCAATAATTTTTTGGAAAATTCGAAGTTGGGAATTTTGAAAATTACTGTTTCAAA